GATTGTCTTTTCCTTCCTCTTCCTCTGCTTGTCTTTTCTTCCCAGGCTGATGTTGGAATGCTTTTCTCAGGACTGGCTTCCTGCCATCTTCCTCCACTTCAATCTCACAGGTAGGCTCCAGCTGTGGCATTGGCCTCTCTTCATCTGAGTTGTCGAAGGGCTCATTCAGTACTTCTGTCGTCTCGGAAATGGTCTCTGTTGTTACACTGCTGTTGATCCTCCTGCGTTTACGACCCCTTTTCTTCTTTAGTACAAAAGGCCTCTGAAATTAATTCCAAACATAACACATAAGAGCTCATGAGAAATTAAATGGTTGAGTCGATACGCAGCAAACATGTACTGAACGCGTGTCTGAGAATCTTACACAGAGAGACTTCTGTAATGCCTTTGTACTTAACCTTCCATTTGATGTTTAACATCCCTCTTGGGCGCCAACTACACAGGCAAGTGTTTTCCAAATAAAACAGTTGTTTACTCAAGCAGATGCTTTGAGAGGGAACATCCTAGCAGCTTGACTGGAGATTTTAAAAGCTAAGCTTTGCTTTTCTAGCATATATTTTCCAAATGATACTTGCTGGCCTCAGTACTCCTCACAACACAGACATTTAAGGTCATTACAGACTCTAATATTTCTATAAATGGTGCCGTAATTAACTAGCCACTGGGTTAACTCATTTTATACCTGATAACTCTTGAAAGAGCACCCATTATGTGCACAGCACTGGGAAATATTATATAAGACCAACCTACTTGTTTCATTCCATAGGACTTCCGGAACTATGAAAGAGAAGGAAAGGTCCTTGAAGAAAAAATTACTGTTTAAAATGTTAACAGAGTCAAGTATTGGTGGGTGCTGAGATGTAAGTAACTGATACCTTGGCAAAATATTTTAATAGAGGGCATCTAAAAATGCTAAAGACATGCAAGATGTCTTATAAAATATAAATGTCTTACAAAATATAAAAATATTTTGTCTTTTTTCTTTTCTGTAGAGACAGGTGTCACCATGTTGCCTAGGCTGGTCTAACCCTGAGCTCAAGTGGTCCACCTGCCTCGGCTTCCCAAAATGCTGGCATTATAAGCATGAGCGACTGTGCCTGGCCTAAAAATATTTTTTCTATTTGTACTAAAGGTTGGCACAAAAAAAACGACTCTCCATAGTTATAATTATAAAATATTTTTCCCCCAGCAAAAAAGTTTTTAATGACACAAAATTCAAATAAAGGAAGAGCAGATGGATTTACTAAGATGTAATTTTTACCTCCCAAATTATTGAAAATATACTGCAAAGAAGGGTTCAGTAGGCTTGGTTATTAGAAGCTAACCTCCAGGTAAACTGTATTCAAGAATTATTATTATTATTTTAAAAATATTTATTTTTATAGAGACAGTGTCTTGCTTTGTTGCCCAGGTGGGTCTTGAATGCCTAAGCTCAAGTGATCCTCCTGCCTCAGCTTCCCAAAGTGTGGGGATTATAGGCACGAGTCACACTCTGTCTGGACTCCAAGAATGATTGTGTCTTACTTTTGTAATGCCCTGAATGCTCACTGAAGCACACACATAGCTGGTTAATCATATTTTGTAATTTAACATTTATGGTTATTAATACCCCCAATCTGCCTGCCCTCTTTAATCCATAAGAATTTTCCCTAAAAAAAAAGAATTTTCCCTAATATGAGTGAAGCCAAGATAGAGAACTGGTTTTCTTCAGGTTGAGTCCAGTTCAGATCATGCCTTGGATGAATCCAGGTTTGTTGTTTTTTTTTTTGAGACAGAGTCTTACTCTGTCACCAGGCACCAGGCTGGAGTGCAGTGGTACAAGCTCAGCTCACTGCAACCTTGCCTCTGGGTTCAAGCAATTCTCCTGCCTCAGCTTCCCGAGTAGCTGGAACTACAGGTGCATGCCACCACACCCAGCTAATTTTTGTATTTTTAGTAGAGATGTGGTTTCACCATGTTGGCCAGGATGGTCTTGATCTCTTGACCTTGTGATCCGCCCACCTCAGCCTCCCAAAGTGCTGGGATTACAGGCTTGAGCCACCGAGCCTGGCCTGAATCTGGTTTTTGATGGTTTTAGAACAAGTTTCTTTTTGAGATGAAGTTTTGCTCTTGTTGCCCAGGCTGGAGTGCAATGGCGTGATCTTAGTTCACTGCAACCTCTACCTCCTGGGTTCAAGCAATTCTCTTGCCTCAGCCTCCTGAGTAACTGGGATTATAGGCATGTGCCACCATGCCTGGCTGATTTTGTATTTTTAGTAGAGATGGGGTTTCTCCATGTTGGTCAGGCTGGTCTCGGACTCCCAACCTCAGGTGATCTGCCCACCGCAGCTTCCCAAAGTGCTGGGATTATAGACGTGAGCCACCGAGCCCCGCCTCGAACAAGTTTCTTTTGTTACATATACAATACATGAATGTACACTTCTCCTAAGAAATGGAAACATTCATAAGCCTGAAGTCTACTTTGTAGGATGCTCCTTTCTCCCACCTCTCCACAAATACCCTTCCAGAAGACTGCCAGGCTTAGAAGAGCGCTAAGCTGGAAGTTAGAACAGCAAGTTCCCTAATAGATGACACATCAGATGGCCTTGGGCAGAGCCTTAGCTTGTATTGTGATATCTCTATCAGTCTTGCTGTACTAACAATATTTGGCTCCCCTCTATGTCCCAGGTAGATACTGAAGACAAACGTATCAGATCTGGGTGAGCAGGTACCTAAAAACAAAGTCAATTCTTTACTTTCTGTACCACTGGAGATGACATGGTCTATACAGAGACACCACTGGGCTACTGCGATCTGAGGAAATTCAGTAAAGCGCAGTTGGCTACAAATGCAAAATATCACCATCAAAATTAAGGGCCTAAAATACTTCCTAACAATTCTGTGCCAAGAACAGGAGAAAGAAACAGCATGAGGAGCACTGGGCTTGGAGTCTTGAGCACGCATTTGGTTCTGCTTCCATCTCTAATGAGTCATCTGACCTTAGAGAAGTCTCCTGGCCTCTAGGTCTTAGAGGGTGGTTTAAGTGCTCTCTGGGGCCCCTTTCTGTTCCTATAACCTCACTTACTCTACTCCTGCAGACCAGCAGGTGGCAGTGACTACTAGACTAGAAGGTTGGCCTGACCCCTGGTTTCCTGTCACAGAACTAACAAACCTCAAAAAGTAAACATAATCATGACTGTGAGATAAACGATTATGATATATGATCAGCCGGACTGGGTACACATAAACTAGACTAAAGAACAGAGAGTGAAACAAATACTAATAGACAAAATGCCTGGAATGACAAATAAGATTTGATCGGAGACTCGCAGACAGAAAATCTAAACAGATACCTACCTTTCTCTTTATGGCAACTGACTGTGGTTTTGTCAATCTCGGGGGAGAGCTTTGAATATTTTCTTCTTCTTCATCCTCCTCCTCTTCATCCTCTTCCTCTTCCTCCTCCTCCTCTTCCTCCTCCTCCTCCTCCTCTTCCTCCTCCTCTTCCTCTTCCTCCTCCTCTTCTTCACTGCTCTCTTTAGACAGCTCCAGCAGCTGCCCTCGCTCCCCTGTGACTGGCCGGCTCTCCGGGGAATGCAAATATTTATTTTTCGATTGTACTTTTGCAGGTGATTGCCTACTGTTAGCTCTAGATGACAGGATTTCTTGTTCCTCCTTCTCCCAGCAGCTAGCTTGTTCCATTAACCGCTCAGCCTAAGTGGGGAGGGTAAAAATGGTGGCCAGTGAGAGGGCAGTTACACAGCCAGAGCCTCTGAGGATCAATGGCAAAGTGTCTCTAAGTCAATTCTGATCAGTACAGCCAGCCGGCCAAGCACATTTCAGCTGCATCATCTCAGGAACCTTTTGCATCAGTTAGGATAACAAATCAAAGAAGATTGGGTTTCATGGGATATTTAGCAGTATTAATGATGCAGCGAATTGATTTGAGTCCTTTATCACTACATTACATGCTCACTGGCATGGAGCACTTTAAGCAAGTTCATACACACAAAGAATCGATTGACACTGCAGCCTTGGAGCTGAGCACCGAATTTGATCTGATTACATGCTCTCAGTAGTGAAAAATGCTGCTTTGTAATCAATGATAAATGTTTCATTTTTCATACTCAATTCAATAAAATTATCATGTCTTACCATGCAACCTCAGTTAGGATAAATTAGTGCCATATCATTTCACATGCTATCTCTACATAACCAAGCTTTTGACAACGATCTTAATGACTTTCTCAGCTTAAGAATGCTACAAGATTGAAGTTACACAACTTAGGATGATAAAGACGATCATTACCTCTTTCTCAGCTTCTCGCTCTTCTTCAGACACTGCAGCATTAGAAATTAAAATTGGGGTCCACCTCAGACTGTCTGGATCAAGTTCATTGGCTCTGGAACAGGTTTTCAGCTTTTCCATGTGGCTCAATATCAACTTTTCCCGTCTAATGATGACAAATCTGTAATGTGATAAAGCAGAGCAAAGTGTAATCACAAGCTGAAATTTCACTTCACCTTCACATACAGACGAATGCCAGCACTAATGTTATCTGGGTTAGGAACAAATCAGAAAGTACCTCAATGAAAGGGTAAAGAACACTGAAATCCAACCAGCAAAAAAGTGTTATTTCATGTGTTATTTTTAAGAGACAAGGTTTGATAATACTGTTAGGGAACCTTGATCTTTAACTGGAGTGAATGTACCTCATCTCCAGGGACCCTTTCTGGTGTGGGATGCCTGAGCCACGGGGGTGCCCAGGGTCCCAGGACTCACCTGCCATCTCTCTTGTCGATCATGTGGAGGTGCTGCAGAGTGGTGGCGATGTCATGTGGGCACATGCCCGTTGCTCTGCTAATTGCCTTGATGCTGATGTGCCTCTCATGGTGGTGGTAGAGATATTCTAAGATGACGCTCTTCCAATATGCCAGGTAGGAGAGACGGCCCAGATCGGAGAGTGGCTTTTCAGGAGACCCTGCTTGGCCTTCTCTTCTAGAAAGCAAATAGCCTAGGGAAGAAAAAATAAAGGGGCATTCCTCACTGTTGCATTCCCAGAGCCCAGAACTGGAGCCACCAGACATATATGAGCAGTGAAAAGGTAAAAACATCACACCAGAGGAGTGCATTCGCTTTAGGAATGTAGCCTCTTCTCAGTTACAGTGATTTGATCTCTGTGAAGTTTATGCTCCTGAAACTTTGACAGTGGCACTCTAAGTCAATTTCCCCAGCTAGCAGCAGCATTCCAAACATATACTGTGGCATATTTAACAAAGACTAAAAGCTATGGTCGAAGACATTACTTCTGGTAAGTCTCAACATCTAAGTCTCCCACAGCTTTAGACTCTTTCAAAAACGAAATGTCAGGCACTTACTCAGAAATCCTGTCGAGGGACCACCCCAAACATTAATGGGCAAGTTGTTTTCCACAGGAAGGACCTAATGACCCTTTGACAGCTGGGTCTTAATAAAAAGAGAAGGACCTCTGTTGACTCAGAGTCTATACTGCTTGTTACATTTAACTAGCAGGTTGATTTGAAGCTTTTTTTTAGGACTAATAAAAGAATGTCTTTCAAGTCAACTGCAACTCACATCAGCTCCACTAGCTCTATTTTCACCTCTTTCATAGAAATTCATTTACAATCCATTCCCAGAACATTGCTCCTACAAATTAAAACAAAACAAAACAGACTCCTTAAAACAACCTATTGCACGTATGCTCAGAAAATCCCCTAGCATCCTAAGCTTTAGAACGCATTTTACAGCATTACTGTGAAGGTTCCTTGGCAGGGGAACTTTCAAAAAGAAAAAAAAACCCAACTCTTTAAATCCACTTAAAGGTAATGAGTGAAAGCTGGCGGCTGTCTTGGTAATTAAGAGCCACTTTTGGAGTAGAAAAGAAATGCTATAAACTAATGATGTCTACCTTGCTTTAATTATCTATTTCAACAGCCTCACCTTCATGAACTTCCTAAGTTTAAATAAACATCAACCACATACAGTAGGTGGCAGCAATGACAAAATCATACTGCTCCGTAAACCACCCAAATCTTCAGCATTTTTCTTCATCTACATTTCCAAAATGGCTGCATTCTCAAGAATTTTCTCAATTTTAGGATTATTTTTTGTTAAAGAAGAATCAATGCCTCTGATGCATTTTCCTGCCTCTCAAAATAACTGCAAATACAGTAATGCAGAAATATCAAACAAGAATCTAGCCTGAACCCTCAAAGGGTATAATCACAGCATTTTGCATTTTGATGGCTTTAATCTGAATACCATTAAAAAGAATAGGCGTAAATTTAACCTCAGGTTTTGCTAAAGTCTTTTGACTCATTTGTCTCTTTAACCCGTGTTTAAGTGCAAAGTATTTGACTGAATGCAAACAAGCACCGCAACATTTTACAGTGAAACCACTGTCTACATGTAATTTGGCAGCAGACTAGGGCTTTCAATAGCAGTGTGTCAGGAATGCTAACACAGTGATGGCCACTGTGCCGAAGCCAGCCCATATTGTGTCCTGTCAACACGGAGAAGAGCTCTCTCTGTCTCTATGTCGCCAGAGTACGAAGGGAGCCTACACCTCAGAATACAGATAATTGGCACATCCGTCACCTGCCTCCAAAGTGCTTGGCACATGCTGAGAAATGTTCTCAGGTGGCTGAGGGGGGGTCCCAGCTCTGTACTCCTGGAGGGGTGAGAACCACAGAGCCGTGGATATGGAACTATCCTCTTTTGTCCATGAGATCCCACAATTAAAAGTCCCCTGCAGTGAGTGTGAAAGTCCCCAGGCCCGCTACTGGTGCTTATTTGAATCCCGCAGTCAAGGACAGAAAGCCTACTCCTCTCAGTCTTGCAGAAAGAATTCTGTACAACTAAAGTGTTCAGAAGGTGGTACGTGCCCCCCCCACCTTATGTCCCCCACTACGAAGGGCCAGCTTACCCAGAAGCACATGTGTTCCTTTGTTCTGTCTCCCCACTACAGTCCCTAATCTGGAAGGCAGCAGCAGGCAGCATGAGGAAAACCCACGCTTTCCCCAGCTGTTCATGCTTTCACATCCTGAAGTGGTGCAGACACACCCTGTCAGGGCCTGAGCCTAAATTGGTTAGGCCACTCAAACTAGCAGACAACTTGGGGTCCGTGGGGATCATTTAGGCATAAACCTTTTAGTACCTGCTACTCCTACCATTAAGTGGCTGTCTACTGGGACACTGCCTTGGACACAGACTTCAGGCTAAGACTGACAGTCACAGAAGCGTCCTGGGGAGGTGGCAGCAAGGTGATGAGCCCTGATGGGCACGGGTACACTGAGAGCTCAGTGGTCTTTCTCAACAAACACCCTTGCACAGTGCTTGCAAAAGTCAGGAGAAAGCAGGGCGTGGCCAGCACCTGCCAGGAGGCCATGCTTCCCCGGATGCTGGGGAGAAACAACTGTAAACTCAACCTCCAGGCAGAGCACAGCAGGCACATGTGCAGGCATGACGTGTACCCACACTGCAGATTGCAAAGGCCACTATCTGAAGGGACCACTGCATGACTTGTAGTGGGTTTTTCCCTCTCCTCTCTGACTCATGAGACCCTGAAGGAACTAATAGCAGGAATTGGCATGTACACCAAGAGCCATTTGGACGTCCACAAAGTCTCCTAATGCAGGAGAAAACAGAATCGGTAAGAACGATTAAAATGAACAAAGATACATTTCTGATTCCTTACTAGTTAAGTGAACTCACTTGTAATATATTAAACTGTACAGCTTAGAAGACAAGTCTGTGTCATGTCCATTCCACTCACGCACTTACTGGATGTAGAACAGAATTCCATTTGAACCTGCAGCAGCACTTCCTCTCAGAAGGCTGCAGCTGGTGGCACTTCACTACTCTGACCCTTATAACAGGTGATGTTCTTAAAAAGGAATTTCTTGCCACCTTTTGTTTCTATGTGCTTTTTTTTTTTTTGAGACAGAGTCTTGCTCTGTTGCCCAGGCTAGAGTGCAATGGTGCAATTTTGGCTTGCTGCAACCTCTACTTCCCAGGCTCAAGCGATTCTCCTGCCTCAGCTTCCTGAGTAGTTGGGATTATAGGCACCCACCACCACGCTTGGCTAATTTTTGCATTTTTAGTAGAGATAGGGTTTCATTATGTTGGCCAGGCTGGTCTCAAACTCCTGGCTTCAGGTGATCCACCTGCCTCAGCCTTCCAAAGAGCTGGGATTACAGGCATGAGCCACTGCACCTGGCCTCTTTCTACTTTTTCTAGGTTCTTCACAACATAATTACGATATAGCCCATTGGACGAATAATTTTTGGTAAGAACATTTTAACACAGAGATGCGGTGGTTTAAGTTACAGCTCTTAACTTTAACTTACCAAAAAGATTCCAAATAATTGATCTAAGATGCAGGGAAATAAAAAGCCCTTATCTTGGCCGGGCGTGGTGGTTCACGCCTGTAATCCCAGCATTTTGGGAGTCCAAGGCAGGTAGATCTCCTAAGGTGAGGAGTTCCATACCAGCTGACCAACATGGAGAAACCTCGTCTCTACTAAAAATACAAAATTAGCTGGGTGTGGTGGCATGCACCTATAATCCCAGCTACTTGGGAGGCTGAGGCAGGAGAATCACTTAAACCTGAGAGGCAGAGGTTGCAGTGAGCCAAGACAGCGCCATTACACACTCCAGCCTGGGCAACAAGAGTGAAACTCCATCTCAAAAAAAAAAAGCACTTATCTTGGAAGCTGGTGTATTATCCTGCAGGATCTGAAACAAGTACAATATACCCCTGGTGAATAGATTCCCATGGTGCTCTAACACTTCTCCTTAACTCAAGATACTTTCAATCAGAAAATCTCAGCTCCCCCTGGGGAAACCTCGCTGTTTCAGATGGAAAACAAAGTAATGTTTGGAGGACAAATCCCAGGAGCTGCAGTATAATTAATCGCTGGTGAAATTATTCCCTTGAACTTGTCTGTGAGCCAGAGGTGCTGGTGAACAGCATTTACTCCGTGAGTGGGAGCCTTGTAATTGAAAATGGGGTGGCCCATAAACCCCCCATCCACATCAACTATCTTGATTGTAGCAAAAGCTGGCTTCCTCTTTTGCTTTACTGGAATACTTATCCTGGGGAAGGTGACATCTGAGTTTCAGTATACAGGCCACACAATCAATTCAAAAGATTATCAAGATGTCTGCTTAAAGGGAAAGGAAGAACAATGCGATGTTTACAGAAAGTAAGCATTTCTAAGCTGTACTGCATGGAACCCGAGCATGCCTCACCTCTGTTAAGGCTGAACTACTTGTAGTAAGAAAATCAAGTCCCGTGTTAGCTAGCCCTGATTTCCTGGCATGTGAAATGGTTAACTCTCTCCCAGGGGGAGAAAATAAAAGTGGTAGAGAGTTATCTCATGTAGATGATCTATTAGGGTAAGGAAGGAACTATCTAGACAAGGTCAAGATTTGTATTTGCAGACCCAAATTCCCAAATTAAATTTATTTCCCAGCATAACAACTCTAAGGTTAACACCCATTTAAAATGAAAATTCCAAATGGACCAAAGAATAATGTTCTCAGGCAAGGGCATGGACAGAGACAGGGATCTCCCCCGACAGGGGCAGACACCCTCACCACTGCACGCCTCTATCTTCTACTACCTGGAACCAAACCATATGAACCTCCTCACACACCAAAAGTGTAAACTTTGGCAAGCTACTCACTCCCAACTTCCATCTGTCTGGATTATGTGAGTTCAGGGGTCACCAGCTGCTTTTAGGGGATGATAATCTTTGAGGATTACACACTTTTCATCAGACACCTGTTTAGTTCAGCAAATCCTGCTGAAAGGTCTGTATCAGTCGACAGCACTGGGTTTGCAAGCATGGGAACAGATACCAGGCCAGGGATTTATGGCAGCTTTTGAGCACAGGAAATCTGATGACTCTAACCAAGTTATCTCATGCTTGGAGATGGCAATTCACTGGTCTGTACGCTCATCCGTTCCTGGTTTCTGGTGCCGAGCAGCACTGTGACTAAGTGGATGAATGGCATGTTATCAGTTTAAATAATGATAAATGAACCTGACAGTCTATTTATATCTCCTCATTTAAATTTTGTGGTGATTTTGCAATTATTGCAGAAGGAAGCTGCACCTTAGTTCTCACATCATTTTAAGAGAACAGCTGTGCTCTAAATGACCTGTGACCTGCCTGTTATCTTACTGCTGTCCACTTATTAAAAGGTACAGATGCCTCCTTGGCAAAGAGGGAAATTTCGAATTTTTCAGATATTTTACATTTTAAGAGATTGGTGTTGAAACTGTGGAAGTTCAAGACCACTCCTCTGTAAGTTCTATGGGCATGACATAATTACATAAGAACTTGAGTAAATGCTGCTTCTCAAGAGCTCAGTGTGGAGACCTGTGGCATCAACATCACCTGAGAACTTGCTAGAACTTTAAATTCTCAGAACGTATCTCGGACCTGCTGAATCAGAATCTTTAGCGGGGAGGGGCAGGGCTTAGTTCCTGTGCTTTCAGAAGTCCCCCAAGTGATTCTGATGTACCTGAGTTTGAAAACCACTGCTAGAACCCTGCTCTGAAGCTGCTGGCTTTGATGAGGGTAAGGCCACTGAAGAGACAGTAGGACTGAAGAGTCTTAAATAGGTGAGACCTCACTCAGCTCCTTGGATGGCAGATAACTAAAGAATGGACTCTCCAAAGCCCCACCAGACTGATACTTAGCTAGAAGTCACTGAGTTGCCAAATCGCTTTGTGCAGATGTTCTATGCCTCTGCTTCTCAACTTCCTATTGTGCGGACAAACCACCTCTGGTTCACAGCATGGGCTCTGGTTCAGCAGGTCTGGGGTGTGGCTTGAGACTCTGCATGTCCAACAGCTTCCTGTGCCATGGACCACACTTGAATAGCAATGGTTTATACTTTAAATCGGTGGTTTTCAAATGCTTTGGTCTCAGGACTGAGAGCTTTTGCTTATAAGGGCTCTGTCTATTGACTTTACTGAGAAATATGACAAATATTAATTCATTTAAAAGATAACAGCCCATCATGTAACATTTTTTAAAAATGAAAATAATACCTTATACTTTCTAAAATATAAATAAAATTTATAGCGAAAAGAATGGCATTATTATATATTTTTTGTAAATCTCTTTAACTTCTGGCTTAAGAGAAGCCAGTTAGATTCTTTCTTTCTCTCTTTTTATTTTGTTCTTTTACTTTCTTTCAAGAAGACAGGGTCTTCCTATGTTGCCCAGGCTGGTCTCAAACTCCCAGTCTCAAGCGATCCTCCCACCTCAGTCTCCCAATGTGCTGGGATTATAGGCATGAGCCACCACACCTGGCCTGCTAGATTTTCATAGATTGCTTTGGTATTTAATCTGCTGTGCTATCACAGGTCATGACATTCTGGAAAACTCCTCTGTATACTCATGAAAAAATGAAAGGAAAAAGAGTATCTTGGTATTACTTGGGAAATAGTTATGACCTTGTGGACTCACTGAACCACACTTTGCGACCATGTGCATTAAACGAAGATGAGAATTTTTTAAAGTTGGGGAACAGGCCACCGGTATTTTAAAACAATATGTCATATGTTGAATATGATACGACAGATCATGAGAGGCTCTATGGGTTGGTGAACATATGAGTCTGGCTCTGGAGCCAGACTGCCCAGAATGGAACTTGGGGTCCACGATGTACCAGCTGTGTGACCTTGGGATTTTATTTAACCTCAGTGCTTCAGATTCCTCATCCCTAAGATGTGAATAATATTGTATCTCTCTCTTACAGTTCTTGAAAGGATTAATATGAAGCATGTAGAACAGTGCTTGGCATATTACAGTAATCCTAATAAGTGTTAGCTATGATTATTATTCAACATAATGAATGAATCAAGTCTCAAGGTGATCATTTGGGTAACTGAATATCCTTAAGGTAGGGAAAATAAATAAAATTTGGACAGAAGGAAAAAGATTGAGATGAGATAATGCCACATCAAAAAATGCTACATGATGAATTAATAATAATTATTATTATAATCTTTTAAATGAATTAATAAACATTAAACAGAAGGAAAAAGATATAGAGACACAGACATATAGGTTGCTCTATAGAATGAGATTGAGAAAAGCTAACTTTCTTTTCCTACTTTTGCCTGAGGAATCTGAAAAACCATTCCATGGACTCAGACAGAAGCTCTCCTCTCATCTCATTCTTCCTTCCTCTCCCCTCCCCTCGGCTAACCACTCAGATATAAATTAAATTAAAGAAAGAGGCCATAAAAAAATTGGGTCTCAGGAGTGGTCTTAAGAAATGGCAACAAAGTTCCCAGCAAACACAGTTCTGTGCCCCCAAATTCCCTTTGGCCCCTTAGTTCTTAACTTCAAGGACTACCCTTAGGAAACAGCAAACCCATCCAACCACAGAAACAATGACTGCTTAGGGCTTCAGCAGAGCCCAGGGACAGTCTCAGGACAGATGAAAGACCTAAATGTTCTACAAGACTCAAGTGTGTCTCTGGGAAAATGGCCTGAGCCAGCAAAACCCTGAGCATGGAGACAGCATGTCTTTGAGGAAGAAGGCTGGCTGCCCTGGGTCACATACCAGCCTGTTTCTCTAAACCCCTCTCTTAGATCTCTCTTCTCCAGGATCCCACAAGCTCCTCAGCAGACCTCCAGTGCTGCACTCTTCCTCTAGGGGCCACTGATTTTTCTTGCTGAATGTCCCCACCCCTTTAAGTCCATTCCAGAATGGAATGGTCTTCCTTCAACTCCCCCAGTGGAAGATGTACAGCAGGAGCATGACTCCCCTGATGCTCTGTGGTGTGCTTGTGTGTCCAAGCTGACCAACCATGCTGGGATTTACCAGATAGTTCCATGGTTCTCTGGGTAGGTGTGGACTCCTTTGTCATTCTGCGTGTCAGTCCCCAAGGAAAAGGGTGCAGGTGCTTAGAAAGAAAATTCACAAGTAGTGCATTGGGCAGCACCAAAGGGACTTCCCTCCCTTTGCACTGCCTCAGTGTCGAGGAGCGTGGATCTCTGTGGATGTGCTCCTGAGCTGGGGTGCCAGAGTAACATGTGCCACATAGAAGCAGGCTGAGGGCCAGAGACAGCTGTATTAGATGGCATTTATACCTGATTCTCTCACCCAGTGAGAAAATTGCTTCTTTTTATTTTTGAGACAGGGTCTCACTCTGTCACCCAGGCTGGAGTGCACTGGTGGTGTGATCTTGGCTCACTGCAGCCTCAACTTTCTGGGCTCATGAGATTCTCCCACCTCAGCCTCCTGAGTAGCTCAGACAAGTACACACCACCATGCCTGGCTAATGTTTGTATTTTACAACGTTTCACCATGTTGCCCAGGCTGGTCTCAAACTCCTAGGCTCAAGCAACCCTTGTAACCTTGGCCTCCCAAAGTGCTGGGATTATAGGTGTGAGTCACCGTGCCTGGCCTATTGCTCCTTCTTCTGTCTTTGAGTCTAACTCAATGGTTCCTGACCCTGCCTACATATCAGAAACACTTGGGGCTTTAAAAAGCCATAGATGTCTGTGTTCCACCCAACCTCAACCCTTACCTGTCCCAGACTTGTCTGGTTTCAGATATATTATGTGTTACATTAAGGAAAGGGCCTTGGGGACTATACTTGGGCCAGATCATTAAAGTGGGTGCCACACCACTTCTTCATTTTTGCCACCTCACAGGGCTGTGGTGGTAGCACCGGTGCCTAATGAGAAATCCCAGCAGCAGGCAAATCTTAAGAGAAACAGAGGCACTCTGAGTTGAGGCGGGGGGAAGGATGGCCACTCTGTAAAGAACCGTGTGATACACTTCACAGAGTTTCATTTTGTTAAACATTCAGCGAGGAGTATTTGTGAGTGTCTGGTGTGTCACCACAACTGAGTTCCTGGTCTAGTGGATTAGAAGAATAAAATTTTTCTAATAAGGTAACTGACTATGGAATAGATTCATCCTTCAATTTCCTTGTTAGGAAAATGAGGCACCTGCCACACAGGATAAAATCATCATGCAATGAGAGATGTTATACTCTGTCAGTATCATTTATGCCCAAACTAGAACTGTTTGGGGAGGGCAAGAATCTTTAAAAATATGCTGATGTAAGTATAGCTTACCAAATTGTTGACATAACCAAATTGTTCATGAAGTCCACTGCCTATCACCAAACTAAGTTCATGCTCTTATTTGTGACCCAGAGGCACTTTCAGTTAGGTAATGATAAAGCCCCAGTGCTATGGCCTTCAGTATGACAGAAATTAGAAAGGCATGCCGAGGAAGGTCTTCCTCTTTGACCTTTTAATTTTCCACAGTTCAAACCACTTTTAAATTCTGGGATATTTTAGGAAGAACAAATTTATTTTTAAAAATTTTAAGATGAGGTAACTTGGCATTTTAAAATTATTTCCTCTCTTATAATAGGCAAGAGTCTACATTAGAGATTCATTTTTAAAAACCTGAAATAGTTTTTGAAATAGAAAATAACATGATTGAAATAGAAAATAATTCTTCAGTTTTCAGTAAAAGAAAGCATTTTAAATATCTGCCCCCCACCCCAAGGCTTGCTCCCCAAGTTGAAACTTGGATAAAATTTCCAAGTCTAAGTTACAAAATTCTGGTAACAAGAACTTGCCAATGAAAGGCTTTAAGATTGCAAACTTGATGCACACATACACACTTCAAATAAAGCATATGCTCCAAACAAATGACTGCATGCACTTAAAATGCTTTACCTGTAAGACCATTCTCCTGCTGCTAAAACACTGCAATTAAACATTTTCCTTAAATAAATCACTAAATGCAAAAACTGAGACTTATTTTGCCTACTTTTATATGTCTGAGGTTCTATTGGGGGAGCTGAGATAGTTCATTCTAATATCTAGTCATCTGGTCTGGTCCAACCATACAGACGGATTGTGGAGTGTGGAAGAGGGGTGGTATTTACATAACCATGGGAGTACCACTGATTCTAGAACCAGGTTTGGGAGACAGGATGGTTGGAAGAGCAACTTGCCTTTCCACTTGCTCTCCTAGAAGTCCCCTAAAATGCTGTGTGTTTATGTGGAAGGGAGTGTGTGTGTGTGTGTGTGTGTGTGTACCAGCTGTAATTTTTAAAAATAGGACAAAGTATGTTGTAATTCCAATTCTGGATGATGAGCTTTTACACAGCAAACAAAAATACACAGCAAGATTGAAGAAAGAAAAAATGAGAATACAAATCTCCTTAGAAATTTTCTTTGTTTACAAACAAAGTACATTTCAAAAGGGAATCTGTCAGTTTTCAAGATAACTTTCTAAAATCAAAGCACAGCCCATCACCTAATCTGACTGATCAACTATTGTCAGAAATGTGAGACACAGAAACTGTCGCTAGTTGTCCTCAGATTATCTAGACAAACAATCCCACTCCACTGGTCTACTTTTCTTTTCACTTATTTTTTATTTATCTCTCAAATGCTTTGAAACGTGATTTGAGGTAAGAAGCCTCTGGTCAATGGTTGTGTTCCCCCAGGGTTATTGCTGAGGCCTCTCTGAAGCTGTGCATTATATAGGCACCCTGGGCAGCAGAGATGGGGTGGGAGGAGGCAGCCAGACAAGTGACTGGCTGGTTTCCCCATAGACTTGGTGTCATGTAGGGACCTTGCCTTTAATCTTACGGAATCTTAAAGTCCAAACTGGCTACAGTAGATGTTAGCTATTAGAAAAACAAACACATATACATTATCATCACCAGCAGTGTTAAAGATAGCAATGACTATCCCTTTGGTTGTAGATGATACATTTCTCTAAACCCCTGGAATGAGCTGCTATCCTGTCCACTGTTTAGCTAAATTTGAGACTTCAGTAACAATACATTAATATAAGCAGAGCTTCACCACAATATACTAATATTATCCCCATAAGTCTTTATATTATGTTAATCCAAGAATTTCCATTCCACTTTCAAAGGCTTAAAATGGTTTTGTGCTGTGTTCAACAGTTGAGTGCCTACTAGGTACTAGGCACTTCTCTAGTTAGGTTTTATACAGATACTCTATTTTCCAAATTTAATGAGAAAAAAAGCTCTGGGAGTTTAATTTGTTAGCTGGTATGCTACTGCTGAATGCAAGAACCACAAACTACGTAAATAACAGGAACTCAAATAGACATGTTAACAGCTAAAGTTCATTTTTTAAAAATCATTTCAATATGCTACATTGCAAGGAATCAATCACACTGTAATCATCATTTACAAATCAAAGTACAACACACACACTCATGGGAGTATATACAACTAGGTAGAAATGTGTGATTATGGACAAGTAGATTGAAACTGTAAATTATGTAACTGTCTCTTGTAATTACCCTGCTTGAGAACCGAAACAAACTTCCTGTATAATTTTGCAGGAGAATGGAGATGAAGATACAGAATCGCTTTTTAGTTGGTTTTAACCCTTCCACAGCTATTTAATTATGTGTGATGAGGACAAAGAAAGTTTATGCTTAATTTATAAAAAATTGGCAGGGAGGTATTTCAAAGTAAATCCTCTAAAAAGCTTCTGATTATTAATTAAATCTGGTGATTTCTCTTCCTCTTCAAGAAAGATATGTCTAAATTATTTGGTAAAATAAACAATGTTTAAAACAAATTCACAGGCATCATTCATTTTATTTCCTCTCTAAAAACATTCATTATGGCCTGTAAGTTTTTAACTGGATGCAAATGAAAAGCTACAGGGATCGAAAGCTGTCTTCAGAGGCATCTTCTGCTTTGGTAGAGAAAAATCTTACTAATATTCTTAACTTCATGGAGAAAAGCTCCGATGCTGGGCAAACCCCAGGGCAGGACTCCTAATCTATGAGCAGAGAATCATCTTCCTAAGAAGAAAGAAGACTGTTTTTCTGATAAATAGCAGAGCTTCATTTCAGGACATTTTAAGACATCCTAGCCGTTTTCATCCCTTTCTTAAAAATCTAACTTTTAACATCTTTTCTCCAGTTTCTAGTGCCTAAAGATCTGCCCCAAATTTTAGAACTGCTTAGCAACCTAGGAGGAGGAAAGGGCAAATTTCCTGTACACATCTTACAGTGTCTGCTGGTGCTGTTCTTCCCACAAAAATAGAAAAATGGGAAAACAGTTCTCATGCTGCAGTGTCTCTTCTTTCTCTCCTCTGGTTCACAGTTAAATATTTTCTCTGTACCCCACCCTCACTCTGCATCGCCATTCCTTGTCTATTTCATCCTCATTCTGTTAACGCACAACCTTCAATTATGTTTTTCTAACTTTGAGAGTCAAAGTGAAATTTACAGGAATGCTGTTTTCTAATGAACTAAACTCAACACTTTATAGAGGATTTGATTCAAGTAAATTTCAGTACATTTCCTTCACATAAAGGTGGCTATGCAAAGGCTGACACGGAGTTGATGCCTGTACACCAAATACTTGTGCACTTGAGTTTTCATCTTCAGGCAGTCAAGGTGAAAAACTGTGTCTCTCTCTCTCAAACATGACCAATAGGCTGCTACCAATAAATCAAAAAAGTTGTTTCGGTTTTAAGAGTTATAAAAACCCAGGGCTGGGCGCGGTGGCTCACGCCTGTAATCCCAGCACTTTGGGAGGCCGAGGCGGGTGGATCACGAGGTCAAGAGATCGAGACCATCCTGGTCAACATGGTGAAACCCCGTCTCTACCTAAAATACAAAAAATTAGCTGGGCACGGTGGCACGTGCCTGTAATCCCAGCTTCAGGAGGCTGAGGCAGGAGAATTGCCTGAACCTAGGAGGCGGAGGTTGCAGTGAGCCGAGATCGCGTCATTGCACTCCAGCCTGGGTAACAAGAGCGAAACTCCGTCTCAAAAAAAAAAAAAAAAGAGTTATAAAAACCCGAGTGCTAAGATACCATAGGATGATGTCACCTCCCATTTTAAGACGATCATTTTCTAAAAAACAAAAATAAAACACAGATACAGAAAATGACAAAAACAAAATATAGAGCTTAATGGATTATTATAAGGTAACTTTCCTTGTAACTATCACCCAGGATCAAGAAATAGAAATTTGCTGGCCACTCCAGAAAAACCTTCTATCTGCTCCAACCAATCACCCCTCCTTTCTTTCTCATAGGTAACCACTATCCTGACTTTTACAATAAACTCTTGCATTTCTTTATACTTTCATCACCAAAACATCCCAGGCATTAGAACAGTTTTGCCTATTAAAAAAAAAATCTTAATGTCATTTTAATCTATGGGTTCCACCTTCACCCCTTTCTTTTCCTTGCAATCTATCTGTGGATGAACTGGGGCCACTTGACCTATAGTGTCTACACTCTGGGTTTTGCTGATCTCCTACTTGCACTGCAGCTCAGTATGCTCCTCTTTAGTCTGTATCTCTTGCAACATGGCAACTACATCCAGTGGCTTGATTAGACTTGGGTTCAATCCACTGGCAAGACTACCAATATCCTTGATCAGAAGATACATAATTTCTGGTTGTCCTTGTTGCAACTGTTGTTGTTGTTCATTGTCTAGATCCACTAATTCATGGTGGTGGTGGAGATTACAAGATGATTATATTTTAATTCTGTCCTTTTCTTTCCTTTTGAGGCGGAGTCTTGCTGGGTTGCCCAGGCTGGAGTGCACTGGCGTGATCTCAGCTCACTGCAACCTCTACCTCCCCAGTTCAAGCAATTCGCCTGCCTCAGCCTCTCAAGTAGCTAGGATTCCAGGTGCACACCACCACGCCTGGCTAATTTTTTGTATTTAAGAGAGATCCGTCTCTACTTTCACGGTGTTGCCCAGGCTGGTCACGATCTCCTGAGCTCAGGCAATCTGCCTGCCTTGGCCTCCCAAAGTGCTGTGATTACAACTGTGAGCCACCATGCCTGGCCTGGTGCAGTGGCTCATGCCTGTAATCCTACCACTTTGGGAAGCCAAGGCAGGAGGATTGCTTGAGCCCAGGAGTTCAAGACTAGCCTGGGCAACAATAATAAGACTACAAAAAATTTAAAAAATTAGCTGGGCATGGTGGTGTGTGCCTGCAGTCCCAGTTACTCAGGAGGTTGAGGTGGGAGGATCTCTTGGGTCTGGGAGATTGAGGCTGCAGTGAGCTGAGATCACACCACTGCATTACAGCCTGGGTGACAGAGGAAGACCCTGTCTCCAAAAAGCTTCAAATTTTAAAAAACTAAAATGATATTTCTTCTCCTTCACTACTTGATTACTTCACTGTACAGTTTATATAGGAAAGGCAGGATAAATGCTTTAATTACAGGTATTTTGTAGTTTCAAGCTAATAAATGGGTTCCTATCATCCTCTAAATCAGTTTGTTTTTTAATAACATTATGAACTTATGAATTTAAACATTTGATAAGTTGCAATAAACTGCAATTTTTATCTTTATTATTATACTTATTATCTGGCTGCAGCCTCTTCAGATTGACTCTGGAGTCCTTTTGACATGACCCTAAGAATTTTTGCTTCCTTGCTGTCTAGTATGACAAGAAGAACTTGTGTTTTGTTTTGTTACAGAAATAACTCTTCAACTTCGTGTAAAATGATGACTGTATTTGCCCCCATAAAAGGACATATGCAAATTTATTGTGGAGAGTGATGTGCTCCTGTATTACATTTTCTCATGATTTCAGCAATACCTGCTGCTGTGGAATTATGCTGCATATTTATTTCCATGTGGACAAATGGTTACGTGTCTAACTGAATTGCCTTTAATTCACTCAACCAGCTTTATACACTTTAGAAGCATTAATATAAAACAATTTTGCTGAAAAAAAGAGTTCCTCTATTATGATAACACAAAGCAGGACTCAATATAAATAATTACAAAACAGAGGTTTTTATATTGGTAAACATGAAAATGTAGCATGAATATTAGAGTAAAATCATGCTAACCACAAATCTACGGAGGAGAAAAAAAAGCAGATTTCTAACTAGTATTTTCCTAAACAATTCTAAACAAGTTAAGGAAAATCTTTTGTTTTACCCAATACAAAATGATATTAAGAAAAACAACCAACAACCAACCAACCAAAAAACTGCCTTACAACCGGCTGAAGATATAAATGTGTTGTTTAGGGCCGGGCGTGGTGGCTATCCCAGCACTTTGGGAGGCTGAGGCGAGTGGATCACTTTTGCTCAGGAGTTCGAGACCAGCCTGGGCAACATGGCAAAACCCCATCTCTACTAAAAATATAAAAATTACCCGGGCATAGTGCCACATGCCTCTAATTCCAGCTACTCAGGAGACTGAGGCAGGAGAATTGCTCGAACCCAGGAGGCAGAGGCCGCGATCATGCCACTGCACTCCAGCCTGGGTGACAGAGCAAGATTTGGTCTCGGGAAAAAAAAAAGAAAAGAAAAAGAAAAAAGAAATAGCATCATGAGAGGGGGTAAATGCAAACAAACATCTCAGAATATTCTATCTCAAACATAATGTCTCTATTACAAGCTGGAAAATATGTTCAAGGGAAAATAGTTCTCTAGAAACCCAAACCAGTTATAGCACTAATTTCAACCAAGCAGAACAAAATCTTTCTTGATCTTGTTTTAACAATGGGTCAGGGCACAGTGGCTCACACCTGTAGTCCCAATGCCTTGGAAGTCAGGAGGATAGCTTGAAGCCAGGAGTCTGAAACCAGGCTGGACAACAAAGCAAGAGCCTGTCTCTACCCGACTCCCCAACCCCTGCCCCCTGAAAAACAGCCAGGCATGGTGGCATGTGCCTGTAATCCCAGCTACTTGGGAGGCTAAAACAGGAGGATCATTTGAGCTCAGGAGTTCAAGGCTGCAGTGAGCTATGATCATGCCACTGTACTCTAGTCTGGGTGACAGAGTGAGACTTGGGAAGGGGGAAGGGGGAAGGGGAAGGGAAGGGAAAAAGGAAAGGAAAGGAAAAAGGAAAGGAGAGAAGGGAGGAGGGGGAGAAGAGGGGAGGGGAGGGGAGCGGAGGGGAGGGGAGGGGAGGGGAGGAAAATGCTTCTCTTCCACATGTCATAACTGAGTAAATGGAAAACAGAGTTAGAACTACTTCTTCCTCTGCACTGCCACAGCTTCTCTCACGTTTGAAATCGCAGGGCTGTGAAAAATTTTGTGTCTGACCCTCTACTACCCTATAAGCAAGGACTAAGCCATTCATCCTTATGTCCTCATCACCTAGACCATCCCAGGCACAGTGTATGTAAAGCATGTTTGTTGAAGGATGGGATGAAGGGATAAATAAAAGACTGAGAGGAGATATGAGTTTAAGCACTACTGGTCAAAAGGTAGCTGAATGCATCTGGCAGGTGTTGACACTGATACAAAGAAGTAGATTAGACTCAGGCATTCATTTATCTCCCCCAACAATTCTTTATTGTGCATTCTCTATGTGCTAGGCACTGTGCTTGTGGCTCAGAGTTCAGCCATGACCAAGTCCCTGTCCTCTTGATGGTCCTGATAAGATTTCATTTTGTTCCAGTTACTGCTTAAGATTAGGTTATTCTCTAGGGCGGGCGTGGTGGCTCACACCTATAATCCCAGCACTTTTGGAGGCTGAGGCGGGTGGATCACTAGGTCAAGGGATCGAGACCATCCTGGTCAACATGGTGAAACCCTGTCTCTAACTAGAAATACAAAATTTATCTGGGCATGGTGGCACAGCCTGTAGTCCCAGCTACTTGGGAGGCTGAGGTAGGAGAATTGCTTGAACCCAGGAGGTGGAGGTTGCAGTGAGCCAAGATTGCGCCATTGTACTCCAGCCTGGGTAATAAGAGCAAAACTCTGTCTCAAAAAAAAAAAAAAAAAAAAAGATTAGGTTATTCTCTCTTTTTTTTTCCTTCCTGGAAGATATCACACTAGTCCAGATTAGGTTATTCTCATACCAATTATTTGAATGGAATTTCTCCAGTAGTGGGTTTCACTGCAAATGCCAGTCAGTGTTGGAAATCCAAACAGACAAAAAAGTTTGTTTGAAAAAAAAACCACCTGCATGCCAAAACTTGAAAAAATTCTGAGCTATGTAAGGCAAAACAGTAGCTTTCAGAAAAAATGAGAGAGACTGCAGACCGTATGTTTCATATTTACAATGTTTTCATTGAGGCAATGAATACAAACTATTCTATAAGAGCTATTTATTTGCTCTTATTTATGACAAGCTTAGCTTAAAAAAGGATACACAAATAAATCGTTAGCTGCACTGTCTCATGCAACTCATTTCGATGCATTCAGTAACAGTCAACCTCTGAATAAATCACTGAGAGCTCAATTTTCAACCTTGATGTTATCTTTAGCATATTAAAATATATTGTACTTCAGACCAATGTAATAAAACAGTAATGGCAAAAGCTTTTAGTGTAACATATTATAATGAGAAAATAAGAAAAAATAGCCATTTTCCTTATTATATTACAGACTAGAATCCTATTCAAATAAATGTCATCATTATACTTGATTACACAGGTCAAAATATGTCTTCCAAAACCCAGCAAAAGCCCAAGGATACAGCTGCTGGTCTAGTATTTTCCTACAAGTGTCATGGGGATGAAGGTGGGAGGCTCCTTATCTTAGAAAAGACTATGAAGTACTTGAGTACCATTTCAAAAGCATAACTTATTATTCTTTAATGAGTGCCTTGACTGCACTCACCCAGGAGTGTAGCTGCTGGGAAGGCTAGGCAAAGAGAAGCTTTCTTGACAGCTTCTTATGGCTAAAGCTGGAATTTTCCTTCCAAAATAAATGCAATCAAGAAATGAATTATCTGATAAGAGAACAAGTAAGGAAAAGATAAGTGTCTCTTCAGCCAGCTATGTATAAATGTGGATTATGTCACAGCTCTGCTTTCTCTGCCCAAGGTTTCACGCAGACAGTGACATCTTCTTTCTGATGCAACTTAAATGATCTTAAGATAGAGGCTGAATGTCAGCAAAAGTACCAGATCTCGAAAGAAGACAGGGCATACCAGGCATCATTTGGAAGTAAGTAAACCAATGCTGCTTGTTCCTCTTCTAATAAAATAAAATTCTCCCTAGGAATCACACACAAGAAAGGAAAGCACATTTTAAAAGCTCTTCCCGTCATAATTAATGTAGCAGTTATTCCACAAATAATAAGAACCTACTAAGTGCCAGGCTCTTCTAGAAGGTCAGAATGCAGCAGAGAGCGAAGTCCAGACTCTGGTGAAGCTTACTTTTGGGCAATTAATAATCAATACAGTCATGTACCACATAATGACATTTAGGTCAATGATGGACCACATCTTCAATGATAGTCCCATAGGATTATAACAGCATATTTTTACTGTGCCTTTTCTATGTTTAGATACAAAAATGCCCTTATGTTACAACTATTAATACCTACGGTATTCAGTATAGTAACCTGCTGTCCAGGTTGGTTGCCTAGGCGCAATCAGCTATACCACATAGCCTAGGTGTGTAGTAAGCTAAGCTGTCTAGGTTTGTCTAAGTACACTACATCAGTGAAATTGCCTAATGGTGCCATTTCTCAAAATAAATCTCAGTTTTTAAATGATAAATGACTGTATATAAAAGACCTATGCAATTTTACCAATGACTCTGTACTTGCTTAGCCTACTTTTTTGTTTGCTTTGTTAGTCCCACTAGAGAGAGAGAGAGAGAGAGAGAGAGAGAGAGAGAGAGAGAGAACTACCAAATAACACAAGTCCCTAAGAGATGCTGTCATGGTCCCTCCAAGCACACCTTTGAGGCTTGGTTTGTGGGGCCCATAAGTGGAATATTTACTCTGCAGCCTCTCCAAGACAGATCCAAGTGAGTGCTTCATGATCTCCCGACTCATGGATATGACAGAATTTACACAGCTCCCCAGGGTAAATAGGTGAGGCTGCTAGGACAGGCACTGGAGTTCTGGACACACAGGAGCAAAGGGAGCAATGTCTGCTACCTGTACCCATTCTCAGGTCTCATCTTGGGAAGCGCAGCCCTCAGCTGACCACATGGTACAGAGACAGCCAGAGACCCCTGCTAGAGAGTACAGTTTCTCACCAGGGCCTTGAGGGCCCAGATGCAGCTCCTGAGGGGAAGCCGTGTGCCCTGATAGTATGCTCAGCCTGCCCTCTGGGAGAAGCCAGTGCCTCCCGCACAGCCCTGGTTCCATGGGGCTTACCACAGTCAGGCGAAAGGGGTTACCGGAATCCAACCAACTGGACTTCTAAATGGAAACTCCTGCTTTCCAGAGGAGATAGGCCAGTGGGTATTAAACATTTACTTCAAGAAAGCAATTTTAAGGTAGAATGAAACCACTCAGTCTCTGCTTAAAAACATTAAGTTTCGCTTAAGTTGTTCCTTGAAAAGCTTGTAAGTGGAAGCTCTTTTAAATAAAATAGTCCACTGAATGCAGTCTGTGAAAACCAGAAGTTAGGAGCTGGCACCCTGAACTACTATGACATGTACTCCTGTATTTAGCCGTCCTATAATACAGTGTTTAACCCAGTAACTTGCATCTAAGATTCTGGGAAGAAGCAGCTTTCTCTCTGAGAGAGTGGATATGGTTAGCCTCCTGACATCATACCCCTCTAGGTAGAGATGAAGTATGTGGCTTTCTTCCTAATTCGCTTTATGGACTTAAAAGGGCAGAGAAGCACGGAGCAAGAAACCAGAGAGAAGATGCTTTTCTCTTCCAGTGTGGTACTTCCTCAAGAAATCAGCCAAGAACGATTAAGAGGCTGAAGGAGAGACAAGCCCGGGGATCTCTATGGATGTGTGCGGTTGTGGTACTTAAAGAAGAAATCTCTACCATTAAACCAGAGGAGGAAAGAATGACGGTGCAGAAAACCACACCAATTAATACTCAAGTACTAAATCATACCCCAAAGCATCTGTAAAAGTTTATTTATTTCCTGCTTTCCTTAAATCTGGTTGGTTGTATATGTGTGAGGTGGCAGGGGGAGGGGAGTATCATTTCTAAAAATGGGGACACATGGAAGCACGCTGCAAACCACACTTAAGACAGAAGCCAAGTTCGTAACCTGGTGGCACAAAACCAGGCCATTTGCACTATCTTCTAGCAGTGCTGATTAATTATAGACTCCGTTTTTTAATAGTGCACAGACCTCACAAAAGCCAAGGTGAACTCTCAGCATGTACGAGCCAGCAAAGGGGATTTCCTGAAGTGAATGCCCAATTCATTCAATCACTCTGCTTCCTATGGTTATAGCCTTGATCCATAAGGACTGCCCAATACTTCAACACTGAATAAAGAAAGCCCAAAACTGAACCTGCTGACACATTTTTATGATTATACTACAAATAAACATACTAATTTTAGAAATGCCTGAATGTACAGTTGATACTTAACTGATGAGCTTGGCATTCATGGATATCAATGGCAAGTTTATCTGGTCTCAAAAAACTACAGTCTTTAGTTTGTAGACTTTTGGACCCAGCTGTCCTTTACCCTTTATAGCTTTAGTTACATGTACCTCTACCCCCAACAAAAAAGAAAAAGCTAATCTGAAATTTAGAATCTTTATAGTTCTAGTTAGTAGGTTTGAGTATTCTAGTTAGGAGAGAATATTGAATTTCATCAAATGCCAGTTCTGACTTTGTAATGAACCATCCGTGTGGATATTGCTTTTTGTTTTTCCCCTCAATTTTTTCCGTCAGCACTGCTCTTTCTGCTTCCTACTAATGGACACACACGTTCCAGGCTCTCCAGCTTAAAAATAAAGAAAACCAGGTTCCTATGCCTCCAGCACTTGACAGTCAAGCTTTTTTTTCTTATTTTTAAAAAGACAGAGTCTTGCTCTGTTGCCCAGGCTGGAATGCAGTGGTACAATCTCCGCTCACTGCAACCTCTGCCTCCCAAGTAATTCTCCTGCCTCAGCATCCTGACTAGCTGGGACTACAGGCACACACCACCATGCCCATATTTTTCTATTTTGTAAAAATACAATAATTTTCGTATTTTTAGTAGAGATGGGGTTTCACCATGTTGGCCAGGCTAGTTTTGAACTCCTGGCTTCAAGAGATCCGCCTACCTCAGTCTCCCAAGATCTACCTGCCTCGGACTCCCAAAGTGCTGGAATTATAGGCATGAGCCACCACACCTGGCCCAGATCTTGGTTCCTAAATACTGTTCTCCACTCTAAGGAATGAAGGCTCTTAGGAGAAACGGATGATTCCAGGGCTGGCTTATGAAAAGGATAAGCTAAATCTGGACCATCCTGGAAGCATGAGGAAAAGACACAAGAACCCACTTTAGCAAATAGTTGCTGCTAAATAAATCTGGGACAATTTGATGTTTGGGGAACATCAAAATCAATGATGGTAACAACAAGTTATAACCCATAGAGTAAAATTAAAACCCATAATTACATTAAAAAACTAAATAAATGGGGAAGAAGAAACAACTCTTCCTTATGGAATGCCAATTAATAAACTGTAGAAAGAATGGAATTAGAAAATTACCATTTGGTAATTATCATAGTAATAATTATTTTAGATAAGAGCCATAAATGAATGGTAAAACTAGAAGGTGAAAATTATATGAGAATTGATATTTATATAATCCCAAAATATCTTCTCACCAGATACTTACTGATTACAAATGGAAAAGTGGTAATTTCACAGTGAAGAAACCTGGCAGGTACCACCTTAACCCAGCGATGAGAAAAATATATTATCACATGATCCTGATGAAATGCACTGGGGGGACAGTCATTTCTATGGTACTCCTGCCAAAAAATGTACAGCCTGAATCTAATCATGAGGAAACATCAGATAAGCCCAAACTGATTCACACTGTACAAAATAAATGGCCTGTATACTTCGAAAATATCAAAATCATGGAAACACAAAGAAAAGCAAAACAAAACAAAAAACCAGGTACTATTCCAGATTAAAGGAGGCTCCAGGGACAAAATAACTACATACTGCATGTGATCCTGGAGGAGGAGATTTTTTTTTCCTCTAGAAAGAACATCAGTATAAACTGGCAAAATTTAAAGTATGAACAACTTGCATAGATTAATATCTTGATTTTAATAATTTGTATTGTGGCTATATATGAGAGCATCTTCATAAAAAAACACTGCAATATTTAGGGATAAAGGTACAACATGTCTTCAACTTACTCTCAGATGATTCTGAAAAAAACTATGAGAGAGAAAGAGAGAAACAAAGGGAGAGAGAGATTCAGAATAACAGAGCAGAAAACAGATGTGATAAAATGTGAACATGAGCAACAATGCATGGGAATTTTTGTTATTATTCTTAGAGCTTTTCTATAAGTCTGAAATTATTTCAAAATTAAAGAAAAAAATAGTGAGATGGAGAAAGTATTTCTGGGCAGCCCCAGCAGCAGAAGCAGTCCAGGGCTAGGGAGGGAACACTCTGGGGCCCCAGTGCCCAGTAGCAGCTGGAAGAGCAGCTCCTTGCCTTGCTGGTGTGAGGCTCTGAAGAAGGAACTGCAAACGTTTTGCTGGCAAGGGAGTTCTCTGAAGTTCTGAGATGTCTGGTGGGGATAGAGAGAGAGAGAGAGAGAAAGAGAGAGAGAGAGAGAGAGAGAGACTTTACAGACAAGAGATGGGGGGAAACTTTAGAATTTTCTGATTGAGAAGGAGAGGGAATCCTAGAATCCAAGAGGAAAGAAAGAACTCCTGGCTTTAAGAGATCCGCCTGCCTCAGTCTCCCAAGATCTACCTGCCTTGGCCTCCCAAAGTGCTGGGATTATAGCGCTAGTTTAACAAAAAGTCTAATATGAAAATGGACATGACCTAATTTTTACAACATAGTAAAACAGGCCCTATGGAGAGAGGGCATGGGTTTCTCCGCTGAACAGCCATTACTTTCTTTCTTGGAGTGACAATCACTCTCTCCTCCACCCATTCCAGTTGTGGGCAAAGAGTCACAAAACCCATTAGGGAGCTTATGAGCAAATTGGGAGTTGATGCCCTTTAGTCACTCTGGCCAAACTTTGCAAATGGCCTCCTGGAGAGCCATGCTCTGATAAATCCCAGAGAAGCTTGTCTAGTAAGGGAAAGACAAATGACTTATTCCGCAAGCAGCACATGGTCCCGTGGATGACCATTCCACCTCACTCAGCTGCCCTGAAGAAAAGTGTTCAAAGCTCTGCATTTGCAGTTCTTTTTTTTTTTTTTTTTTTTTTTTTTTTTGAGATGGAGTTTTGCTCTTGTTACCCAGGCTGGAGTGCAATGGTGTGATCTCGGCTCATCGCAACCTCCACCTCCTGGGTTCAGGCAATTCTCCTGCCTCAGCCTCCTGAGTAGCTGGGATTACAGGCACGCGCCACCATGCCCAGCTAATTTTTTGTAATTTTTAGTAGAGACAGGGTTTCACCATGTTGACCAGGATGGTCTCGATCTGTTGACCTCGTGATCCACCCGCCTCGGCCTCCCCATTTGCAGTTCTTTACACAGATGGTCCCTGGCTTACAATGGTTCGACTTTATTATGGTGTGAAAGCAATACCATTCAGTAAAAACCAAACTTGATCCTTTTCTGGGTTAGTGATACAGCACTCTTACATGAGACATTCAACATTTTATCATAAAACTGACTTTGTGTTAGATTATTTTGCCCAACTGTAGGGTAATGTTAAGTGTTCTAAGCACATTAAAAGTAGACCAGGCTAAGCTATGATGGTTGGTAGATTAGGTGTATTAAATGTATTTTCCATTTATGATATTTTCACTTTACAATGGGTTTATCAGCCCACAGACCCATTGTGTCTAGGAGCATGTATATATGCACAACACATTACATTCCACCCACGTCTGTGATCAAGTGTGCAAGTGGGTGGTTGTATCTTTCTCCCTGCTTGTACCTTGTTTCAGCTTACTAAACTGCAATTATAAAGATCTACCTGATTTACAACCTCATTTGACTTACTGAAAATACATCCCTGACCAAAAGACCCCAGGCTCATGTACAAAATAGAAATGAAATAAATTTAACCATTAAAAGTCTTTTGAGAAACCAGAGCAGATTTTAGAAAACCTGCAACCCTAGTTAGCTTTCTTTCTTGGGCTCCAAATTATGAGATTAAAAATGATCAGGAGAGGTCATGTGACTCATCCCTACCTTCTGCAAAAGGCTGGATTTCAATCATTCTGGAAAAATATTTATCTACCATTACTTTAAGTAACTTCCAAGAGAAGGTGCTATTAATTTCTTCAGCCACCTACTCTATCTTCCTTAAAACTTTTAGAGCCAAGAAATTCTTTTGGTTTTAAACTGAATTTCTATTGGGTTTACACCAGTTCCCATTTTCTTTGAGTGCTATAAAATTCTTCCCCTAGTCTCCCTTTCTCTGAGGGAATAACACCAATCCCTTTTCAACTTTTTTTTTTTTTTTTTTACTATTACAAAAGTTTAACAAAAAGTCTAATATGAAAATGTACATGACCTAATTTTTACATCATAGTAAAACAGGCCCTATGGAGAGAGGACATGGGTTTCTCTGCTGAACAGCCATTATTTATACTCGTTCCAAGGCTCCTAACATGATGATACTATTTCCTCGTATTACCACCATTCCAATATTGTTCTGTTGTCCACTAGTCGCCATCTCCTCCATGCATTCATCTATCACAAGATTCATAATGGGATCAAATCCCTGCAATATTCCTTGGACATGTCTGCCACCATTTAATTTCAATGATAACTTCTTGTCCATAAATATTTTCAACTCAGGAGTTTGAGCTTTGCTCATGATGGCTACTCTGCAGGCTCAGAGAGCCCTTTTCAACTTTATTCGAACCTTTCATCACACTCCTTAACTCACTCCAGTAGGGACAATGCTAAGTGTACAGGAAAAAGAAAATTGAAAACTACACCCTCAGCACCTCACTGCCTGGTCACATCCTGGTGGACAGCATTCATCAGGGTGGCCCTGAGCCACTCATTAAAGAGTTTAATGTGTTCTGTAGTTTAAAAATACAAGATATATTCTAGTAACAGTTTCCACTAAAATGGTTAAAATAAAGACACAGCATTTGAAGATAATGTCTTTGTTATCTGGATTGTCTGTTCTCTTATGCAGAAGGTCTTAGTGGCAGATCATGCTGTACAAGTAAGATGCTACTGAATTTAGAGCTTAAACTTTTACCTAGTAAGTACCAATTCCTTTTTAATTTTAGGTAGACAATCATTGTGGACAGCAACCATATCAATCTGAAATTTAATTTTTATCAATAAAATTTAATTTATATAATCTAACGCATATTATTATATAGGAAACTGTCCTACTGGATACAGAGAAGTTGGAAGTCTGATGCTTCCATCAATAATTATCACAAAAGGGTGAACAGAATGTAAGTGTGATGCCACAGAGAATATGGAACCAATAAAAGTATGACATAAAATTCCAGGAGGTAGGATCAAAAAGCAGAGATTCTTCAGCTGGCTCTTAACAATGGGCAGGATTTTTAATAAAGTCTAGGAAAGGAGGAGGAGATCATTTCAAGGAATGGATTGCACAGACAAAAAATGGAGGTATAAGATCCTGCTCAGAATATTTGAGAAAAAGGAGATTAGTAGATGAAAAAGCCTAACCGACAGGCTGGAACTAGACATTGAAAGACCTTGAATACCGAGCTAAGGAATTGCCTTATTCTGTAGGCATATAGATATGACCACAAATTTAAGTCTGGATGGCTGCTATGCATACCAGAAACTACATTTATGAACTACTTATGAATGGTAGCCACACAAAACTGGAGAACAAGATAAATGGTTTTGCCCTCAGAAATTATTACAGCTAGGACTCCATAAAAATAAAAATGGTACACTGCATTTGGTAGATGGCCCTCCTTGAGATTACTGGTTTCATGGATATCTAGGTCAGCAAAGTATAGATAAGATTAGGGTAATTAATTAATAACTAAAAATATTATCTAAAAATAGAAAAATAATCAAAATTCTTCTTTTAAAAGAATCACATTCTTCAATGTTAATAAATTATATAAATCAGTCCAAAACTGCTATTCAGTTATTTTATACTTTAATCAGACCTTAATCTTTTAATACCTAATAATACAGCTTTTGATTCACTATATTGCTGGGAGCACGGTGGCTCATGCCTATAATCCCAGCACTTTGGGAGGCCAAGGCGGGTGGATCACGAGGTCAAGAGATCGAGACCATCCTGGTCAACATGGTGAAACCCCATCTCTACTAGAAACACAAAAATTAGCTGGGCATGGTGGTGCATGCCTGTAGTCCCAGCTACTTGGGAGGCTGAGGCAGGAGAATTGCTTAAACCCAGAAGGCGGAGGTTGCGATGAGCTGAGATCGCGCCATTGCACTCCAGCCTGGGTAACAAGAGCGAAACTCTGTCTCAAAAAATAAATAAATAAATAAATTCACTTTATTTCTTCATGGTTTTCTGTGAGCACATTTACATTGCGGTTCTGGCATCCGACGTACCTGACGAAGATTGTGCAAAGTCCTAAATTTCCCTCCTTTCAGTTAATAATCAGACAAGCTGCAATCTGCTAATCAGCAAGGACCTGGTTCCTAGTGACACATGACCAGAAATGACTATTATCATGGGATATCTAGTCATCGTGTTATCTAGATATTTTGAATCAATTCTCCAAATGCACCCCTAATACTACATTTACATATCCAGTAAAATACAAACAAGAAGGAAAAAAACTACCAATTTTTGAAAACATTATCCATGTGCATACTTTTATATATTATTCTGGTTTTAATTGAGGAGGCTCAGAAGATATGAGTGTATATATGATAAACCTCAGATACAAACACTGTTAATTTCCATAATAGAAAAGGGAAATTATCAAAACAAGGTAAGAGTTATTTCTACCAGCAAGGCCCAGGATATGCTGCCTAGAGAATTATTTTTCTAAATGGAAATATACCTTTCCTGCTTTGTACTGTACAAGATTATAGGCAAAATTTTAGAGAGCTGAAAATCCTTTCAAATAATACTTCCTTTGGCTTTAATCACGAATAATTGCCTCTTTTGGTGCTAATGAGCAGGAGCACCACAAAACGGAATGTAATTCTGCCAGTTCATTCAGGGTAATGGCTTTGCATGTGAGGGCCACTGCCGAGAGATCTAGTCTCAATTTCCTAGAGTACAATCACTGAGCAGCAGTACATTTTTCAATTGAGGAAGATGTTCTAACCTATGTAAATATAAATAGAAACCCCATTATCTATTGATAAAAACAACAATGCAGGTTAAGTAAAGTTTTAAGTGTTACTGTTTCCTGTAACAGCCATGAGCTTCCTGAGATCAAGAAAGTAAATAAAGTACTTCACTTACTGAAATCAATGAGAAACCGTCCAAATCCTTGCCTTTGGTGCTGGGGCATGATCATTATGCAGGAGACATTATATTTCTGCTGGCAAAGCTTTTCCTGAGGGAAGGAGAAACAGATCGAGTATGTCAGAGCCCTGCTGAAGTGGGCAATTCCCTGCACCTGCCACTGTCCTTGTAAAACTGTCCACTAAAGAAAGTCAGTGAGTTAGGTTAGGATCAAGCAGAAAAATCCTACTATATTAATCAATTAAACTATCAGCTAACAATAAACCATTGACTCTGGGCATGCCTCTCAACTACATCTTTATTCTTGAAAGTCAGTGCCATAAAATATGAATAAAGAATCCAAAGAAATATAAACCAAATAAAACAGAATACAGATAGAATAGAAGAAATGCTTTCTTTGCTCAAACAACTTCAGAGACAGAGAAAATAACATCCCAGGGAGTTACCCAGTGGAGTAAGTCAGGATTTAGCCAACTATCTTGCTAAATATAATAATAATCTACAACTCTGCAACAGCAATCTGTCTTCTGCCTTTGGGCAAATGCCCCAGTGAAACTAAAACAGTATCTGCGTGGGTAGATGTGCACAAATATATTTCTCCTATGAATAAAAAGTCAATGTAAAAAGCTAGAAAAATAATTAATTTCCATTTCAAACCAGGAAAACAAAATGAAACAAAAAGACAACAACAAGAAACCCCAAAGCCTCCAAACAAAAGGTTAGACCAAAAAATTACCGACAGTCTGAAATCAGGAGGAAGACTGGGTAGCACATGGTAAGAACAGCTCTTACAGCTAAAGAAGAATTTGCAGCTTTCATGGGAGGTGGCATCAGAGCAGTAATTTTTTATTCAGAGTACACAGAAGTTGCCAAAACCTACACAGAGATCTGGAAAAGGCTTTTGAGGTCGTGGATGCTCTGGCCAAATATAAACCACAAATAAGACTGACCACAAATGTACCAACCACACCAAAGAATTACTTCAGAACACCCAGATCTTTAATGAACCAATTTGAAAGATCACAGGAGATGGTTGTGGAAAAAACCCTACAGGGCAGAATTGAAGATTTCTTTGTGAAAAAGATGTACTCCCAACTTTTGCATATTTGTAGCTGTCTATGGAGCCTCTAAAAAATGAGGAGGAAGCAACGTGTGTCAGTTTTCCTAAGAAGATGAATCGTCCATCACTGGATGTGCACATCAATGGCAAAGGTTCAATTAATTTGTCTGTTTTGCAAAGTTAGACAAATGGGTCACTCTCTCTAAAAAGAAATGTACTCTGGGTTAAGAGAATTCATCCTTGATGCCATTCCCTTCTTTATCCAGAACCACTTCCACCTTTTGGAGTTTTTTAAGATCCAATATGTAGTGATCCTTCTTCTCCCACCCCCCAAGTTAATATGTTACTACAGCTAAATTCTAAGCTATGGATAAAATAACTGCTCCATCCTTCCTTTCTGTTTAGAGCCATCTACTACGTGCTTGGAAAGTCATATGCATGTAACAATTTGCACTGAACCTTTCTAGGTCATTCCGGCCCTTCTCTGGCTATCCTTGAACTGTCATTCTAATAACCTCTAGAATTTGGTTCAAGAATAGCCCGAAAGGGCCAGAGTCCTCCAGATTCCAATTGACACAAGAATACGGTTTAGTTTCATCTACTCTTTTAACATGGTTATTTTTTAGATTAATTTTTGTTTCACTACACTGCCAAGGAATATTAGTATTCCAAAATAGTAGGAAATGACAGCAGCTGCTGCCGTGCTATAGAAGAAGATATGACAAAATAAGAAAAGTTGAGCTAGTTCTGAGTAAAATGTTGGGTACTCTGGGAGGAGGAGAGGCAGAAATTCAAACTTCAAGAATCACCACCAACTCTACACATGGCTGCTACTCAGTGGCCAACACAAGACTCAGGAGCAGGATGGTCAGTGCAGCACAAGCAAGGCGGGCACCGTTAAGCCTATGTTCAAACCCACAGACACCGAAAGAAACACCATTTTCTAACAAGAAGGACGCAATCATTATTCTTTTTAAGTCTCTGGAGAAAAATAATCTTGACAAACCTACATAAAAGGTAAGGTGTTTTATTTATTAGTCATATAAATAGATTCCCTATTGATTGTTTTATTCAGTGTTAATTCTCTATCATCTTTTGAATTTGTAATGTGCAAATTAACTTTCTTCTTTTTCACCGTAAAGCTTTGCCAAATATGTGGATTAAAACACTGAGGCAGTTTTCCATGAATTCTGTTACTTATTTTTGCTTATGATCTTTGGGGTTGATTCTTAAATTCAGGACAGCTATAGTTTGCAAGTACCTTTATATATATTCTATCTTCTGAACCTCCATGAAAATGGCACTTTTATAAAGCATCCCATTTACATTGTGAAAGAGCAGATTCATTAAAATTCACATATCACCTAATATAAAAAGTATATAATAAATAAAATATAGAGTTTGGACCTTCTGCCTAAAAGTTTCATAATTATCATCTCTATTTAGATGTACCATTCTGGTACATTTAACTACTCCCCTCAGAAAAGTTAAGGTCATTCATTACCTGGTGAACATCTCCAAACTCAGTTTTCCTTTATTGGAATTATTGTTTCTCAGAAGCCTTTGAGCAAAAGAATGTGAGTGAACTGCTCTGAACCAGTGAAAAGGACAAGCTATATCCCCTCAGTATGTCAATGTTTTTGCCACTCTAACAGGTAGAAATACTTAAGCTTTCTAAAGGTGAGATTGCTTTAGAACTTAAAACCATAGCACAGAGAAAAAGAGACAAAAGTGTAAAATCAGTCATTTTATCAGCTTGACTATCCAAATGCCAATGTCCTAACTCACTGAGACACTGTTGACCACACAGGGAAGGCAACAAGGAGAAAGGAGAATTCTCTCTTCAATGCTACATACAGTAAACTGAAACCTTCATGTTGACACCACTTAAAGGGAAAACAGAAATAAGCTTAATACTGAGAAAATCAAGGATGCTAAGTGGTCCACAAGGCAGCAGTTACAATGTCATCAAGACAGCACACAGTGTTGCGGTCCTCTACACACTTACTAGGCACCATGGTTTTTTTGTTTTCATCTTTTAAAATGAGCTCTAAACAAGAACCTGAGCTTTTCAAAAACACATGTCACTTGTTCAAATTATAGTCATGAAAAAGCCTTGTTCAAAGGATTGGGCTCTACCAAAAACATTTTGAAAAAGAAAATGAAGGTCATGCTGGCTCTTGTTTTACCTTAGAGAAGTATCCAACCAGATGACAGCCCTTTTCATCATTTTTTGTAAGGACATAAAAAAGGAATGGCTCAACATCATAATACAACGTTTTGTGGTCCAGGAAGAGCTTGGCTAACAAGCAAAGGTTTTGGCAATAAATTTTGCTCATATTCCCATCAACCTAGCAAAAAGAAACAGACAACATTATTTAACATAAAAATACTGCTCCATATAAAATTGTTTCTTCTATATGGCATTTCAGAAAGTACATTAATTTTATTTCCAAATCCTAAACTGAGAGATTAAAACACTCTATTAAGCAAGTAGAGCTTTAACCAGGAAACAGCTGTCACTGGCAAATCAGAATTCCACGTTTTCTCTTAAATTCGGTACATTTAAGATAGTTTAAATTTCTCTTTATGCTACCAAAGGAGGGCCAAACTACCAGCAAAGAAGTAATTTTTACTTGTAGCTTATTCTGAGTTAAAAATGATTAGGCATGTCCTCTCACTTTACTTGAACCAAATAAATAGGTATTAAGGAAATATAAACAGATCAAAATACTTCTCAAGTAAGTTAAACTTTATGTTGTTTCAAAAGGGTTTCACATAAAACTAAAGTAAATGAACTGTATTATTCTGATTCCCCACAAGTGTGGATTAGCAAAGAGGTTTCCATTTTGGTTCTATCCCAAGCATCATTTTAAATATAATTGGAAAAGATAAAATATCTATGTTGGGAATACTTACAGAGAAAGTGATATGAATTTCTACCTACAATAAGCACCATGATTACAGTCTACTTGTCTTCAAAATAAAAGAATCAAGCTGTGATACTGATGGCTATAGACAGGAGGCTAGGTACAGATGCCAATTTCTTTGATCAAATGTAGTTACTTGTTGAAAACACAAAACACAGCAGATTCAAGAAGAATTTCCCTAGCACTTTTCTTAAGGGAAATGGATATTTGCTAAGCAGAGCTCTTAAACAATGAACTTGACCATTCTCAGGTCTCCTGTGAACCATACGGGTTCTCATCTTGCACAAATTATTTTTAGATTTCATATAACTATTTCCCTTGGATGAAACCTAGGTCCCATACGTAGCAACACAATCAAATATGGGCAACGGGCACAGAGGATACAATTCTCCCTTTAATTAAAGGAAGTTTTCATGTATTTGAGAGTATGGGCCTTTTGGAAATGGCAGTAGATTACAAAAAGGAAAGACAGAGATACACATATCTGTGAACTGGAAAAGTAGAGAGGTGACAGTGTGGAAGAAAATTCTGATCAGCTGTGAAAGCTGTAAGAGGAATACATAAAGAGAAGACAGAAAAATCATAATCTGTGATTATTCTTCATTTATTTTATAAGTTTTTTAGGAAACTGCTGGGAGAAAAGTTGCCCAAATGTTATACTCTATTAACTCAGATTCTAGAATAGGGACGTTGGTATTTATCAAATCCATCTCCTTATTTGTATAAGCAAATTTTACATTCATGCTTCTGATGCTTCCCCTCTCATCTCTGTATGGTCCAAAAGCGCCTGCCCTGAAAGAACAGCCTATTCTTGCCTAACCAGACTGATTCCTTGCACCTGAGAAGATGTTCCGTGGATTTATGAGGGCTTCAATCAGATGCTATGCATGCTGATTTATTAAATAATTACTTAAGGCCAACAATGTGTTTTGAGCTTTGAGAAACAATGTTCTGGTTGGAAGAAAAGATTTAAGGCATCAAAAAAGGAG